TTAACAGACCACTGTCATCAATGGGGCATGCAAGCTCCTCTCATCTTTTGTTTGTTTGGTTTTTTCTTCTCCTGGATCCCTGCTTCCATTTCCGTTACCTGTAGCACTAACTTTGTGTGTTTCGTAAATGTTCCTAAATATGCAGGTATTCTTGTTTTTAGCATATGGCATTATTTGATGTGTGCATGTACTTTTGATTTATCTCAACCATATTGTGCTCTAAGTCTTATTCTTTTTCCAACTTCTGTTACTGGTTATTGCTTTTGCAATTTATTTATATTGCTATAGGTCAGATAGTAGGTTACCTTTTACTGCTGCATAGAATTCCACATTTTTCTTAACCATCCAGCTTGGGACAGACATCTATGCCCCCCATTATCACAACCAATGTCATGATGAACGTCTCTGAGCATATCCCCACTCCAGACCTGTGCAAGAATTCCTCTGAAATCTACATTCTTTTCAAGTGGCCGCAGACCAATCCATAGTACGAATGCACCATGGTGCATTTACCATTCCACTACTGATGGATGTTGAGATACAAGTGTTTCTTGACTTACAATGGTGTTACATCCCAATAAACTCATCACAAGTTGAAAATATCAGAAGACCATTGGGACTTAACAGCTTACATCTTCGCCAATACTTGATATTATCCATTTTCTAATTTTGCTCTCCCAAGAGGTATAAAGTAGTATCTCATTGCTTTTTTAATTTGGAATGCTGTGGTAAGTAGTGATGGGCCCATTCCTATAGTTTATGGTGCTTTTCTTTATTTTTCTATATATCTGACATCAGTAGAATCTGAACATTCCTAATTGCCATATTAATATTTGCATTATTAAAATCAAAGAAAATAGAGGAAATGAACCTAAATGGAACTTTGGTATGTGTTTTCTAGGAGTATGCTAAAAGAAATACCATTGTAGTTCCTAGAATATTAACAGAATTTGCTAAACATGGTTTAGGCCTGATCTCAGGTGAATTCAGTTGATGTGCAGAGAATGTACATGCATTTTACTCACTTCTTACACACAGGATGATAAATCCTAGGACTGCAAAGTGACCACTATAAGAAGGATGTAATAAAACCTAATACAGGTAATTAACAATAATTATCAAAAGATAGACTGCTTGGTAAAATATTAATCTTTTCCCACAATCTTTCAGATAATAACAGCAGAAGGAATATCCTGCTGACCAATTCCATTCAACCCAGTAGACTCTCTCTGCTAGTCTACCAATAGCAACTAACGGCTTTTAAAAGTAATCCTGTGGCCCTCACTGATCTTTAACCTTAGAGTGTTGAGGTTGTATTTCAAACACTTATAAAAAGTGTAGGTTCAATTTGGTTGATATGACTTAGAACAAGTGAGATACACACAGAGATGTAAGCATTCATTGTTAGAGGCAGCAAAAAAAAAAAAAAGAAAAGAAATATACATGGTCTCGAACTTACGATGATTCAGCTTCATGATGATACCCATACTGGTTTTCACTTTCAGTACACTATTCAATAAATTACATGAGATATTCAATACTTTATTATAAAATAGGCTTTGTGTTGGATGATATTGCCCAACTGTAGGCTAATGTAAGTGTCTGAGCACATTTGAGGTAGGGGAAGCTAAGCTATGGTGTTTGGTAGATTAGGTATATTCAGTGCATCTTTGACTTCTGATATTTTCAACTTATAATGAGTTTATTGGAATGTAACTCCATCTTAAGTCAAGGAGCATCTGTAATCTAAACATCCATCAGTAGGGGAATGGTTAAATATTCGATGGTGCATTCATACTGTGGATTGGTCTAGAGCGATTCAAAAAGAATTTACTACTGGAAGATCTTCAAGATGGAAAATGAAAAAAGCAAATTGCAGAAAAACATGTATGTATGTATATGTATGTGTGTGTGTATATATTTATAGTGTGTGTGATATACATGCATACATCTGTGTGTATATATGTATAATGCGTGTGTGATATACGTGCGTGTCTCTGTACATATATATGTATATGATCCCATTTAGATTTTTGAAATTAAATATATGTTTAAGCATGGATATTTTTGTATATAAATGAATAGAGAAAGGTCTGGATGATCCATATGAAAACAGTTACTGTTGTTAACTTCAGGGGAAGGGAATAGAAATGTGAGGAAGGG